ATGTATATATGTATGTATGTATGTGTGCAGATGTATCCGAAAAACGAAGATTCGCACATAATAAACAGCAACAATGAGGAGCAGTCGCGCTTGAAGCGAAAAACTGTGAGAAAAAAGCCTGGAAGAGAACAACGAAAAATAGAATAAAAATAACAACAGCAACAACCTCTAGAGATTCAGCGCGCAAACAAACTAGATATTAGCGAAATAAAAATTACTTTTGCAAATGATGTTTGCGAATTTAAGCAAAAAAAAAAAAATAAATAAAAAATAAATTAAAAAAAAACACACAACTAAAAGGTACCAACACATACAGACAAATATGTATATGGGAGTTTGTTGTTGTGTGTGAAGTTGGCTTGAATTGTTGTACTAGACGGAATTGACAAATGGTTTTATATACTAGTATGTGTGTACATACATACAAACATACTTAAATACTAGCAAACATTAGTATGTACACACACATATGTACTACAATTATTGTAGTTATGTATGTTGGTGCTAATGATTGTGCGCCAGCAACAAGAGAATTACAACAATTGCTACAACAACAATAAGGAGTGGCAAAAAAAATAGAAAAAAAATTAGGAAAAAACTTAAAAATCGCAACAATGAATTTAATGAAAAAATACACATATGTAAACACACACACACTTGTATATTAATAGATTTGTATATATGAAGTATGTGGTATATACGTACTTACATACTCGTACATATGTATGCATAAAAAATTTTCGCCATAAAAATGAAATGAGTCATGAAGTTCTTTAAAAAGACAAAGTGCGAACGCGAATGCGTTGCGAATCGCTCTAAAGCGTCGTTAAAGTTGCTGCCGGTAAGCGGCCGGGCGCGTGTTTATATGTACATATGTATGTATGCATATAGCAACACTTAAAATCAAACAAACATACAAGCACTAATATATACGAATGCATACACATGTATATACATATATGTATGTGTGTTCAATAATGTCAGTTGCGCTCCAGTGCGGCTCCAGCACCACTTCGGTATGGAAAATATGTATGTGAGAGTATGTTTTTTTACATATATACATTTTTTTAAAAAAAAAAGGTGTGTAGCCAAAAATTTGCAAAAATACAATTTTTGTTTAATTTTTTTTTTCTATTCTCATTCTGATTACTTAATTTATTTGTATTTGTCTTTCTGGCGCTGTTTTTTGCTGTTGCTGCCAGCTGTGCACTTTGCTTTCGGTCGCTTCTTTTTTATGTATGTACATATGTGCATATTTATGCGCGTGTTTCTATAATAATTTGTCCAATGTAAATATAATGCGATATGTGCTGTTGTGTTGTTGTGTTTTAATACATTTTTTAAAAAGCATACAATTTTTGTAAAATTTGGAAAGTCTTAATACATATATATTTAAATTATATACATATGTGCATACTTGTACGTATAAATATTTGCTAAATAGTTTTTTGTATAATTCTTGTATATTTACATATATTTATATTTTATAGAGGTTTTAAGTGGCGCTTTTGGGTGCTTTTAAAGAATTTGAGCAACGGTTGCCGCTGGGTTGAAGCCGCTGTAAGCACGGTAATTGGGAAAGTCGAAGTAAATTTAATTTATTTTATAATCAAATTTTAATTTAAGCTATTCATTTACGCAATTAAATAGTTTTTCTCGTCAAATAATATAATTTTATTTTCGAATTCAGTTTTTCATAATTTTTTTTTAAATGTATTATTTATTTATTGTATAAATTTTATGAGAAGATTTCCTTGTTTTATGTATTTTTTATTATTTAATATTAATTTTCTAAATTTTAACGATTTTATTATTCATTTAATTTTAAGAAAATATTTAATTTTATATATCTAACTTTTTGTGAAAAGAATTTTTTTATTTGTATGCTTTTTTTCGAATTTCATTTTAAAAATAATCCTTTGTTTTATTTCTTATTTCGTATTATTCCATTATTGAATGTATTCTTTTTAATTTTTTTATGAAATTCTAGTGTTTTATCATTTTCCTATTCTAATATCATATATTTATAGGTTGAAAATTGTCATATAAATCTTTTTATAATATTTAAAAGAAATGGTTTAAGTTAAGTAGAGACCAAAATTTAGAAATAATTTTTATATGCATGAAATTGTTAATTTTAACTTTTTTTAAACATCGTATTGCTTTAAAAAATTCAATTCCATTTTTAATAAATGTCTTTTCAAAATTTTTGTTTCTGAAATATTGCTTACTTGCAATATTTAATTTTGAAACATTTATTCGGATTTTTTGCAAATTTTTAATGAAATTGAAAATATTTTTTCCTATATTTTTGCTATTTTTGTGTTCTTTTTGTAATATTTAGAAAAATTTATGTGATTTAATTTAAAATTTCAGTTCGAGTTTACTTATTATGTTTAATTATATAATATATTTTATTATTTAATATTTTTAAATCAACTTTAATTATTTTTCTATTAATTTTTAGCCAAAACATAATTCCCTCTGACTTCAACCGAAGTTTGAATATATATATATATATATGTATTTTTCTCATTTTTTCCTTTTATATTCTCTCTACATTGTATATTCTTCTCCTACGTATGTGTATGTTAAAGCTGCTGTATACATATATTGTATTTACATATATACGATTTCGTTAACTATTTTTATTTATAGACAGTATATCTGCACATTGAATTAGTACGCGAATACCAATAAAACATTACAAATGCACAAACCCACACACACACATTTACCGTCATACTATATGTAAAATGATGTATAGTATTTGTACATGCTTATATACTCGTACATATGTATGTAAGTAAATGCTTGAATGTGCAAAATATTTCATTTGTATATTTTTCTGCTTCTTCTTTGTTTATAAATGCATATGTATGTGTGTGTATACATCATTGCACTAATACTAATACGAAAATTTGCCAATTTTTGCTACTCATACTTACATACATACATACTCGCACAGTACAGCAATTGCTTTAATGTATCTACAAGATATAGATACAATTCGTGTTCACATTTGCACACTCGTCGTTTTTGTTCAATTTTTTTTAGTTCTCTGAGTCTGCTTGCCCAACGCGCCAAATGTTTTTTTCTGCAAGTTTGTTTCGGTCACCCTAACACCCGACCCTTCTTCTCGCTAAGCGGTTGTTCGCATCATCGCACCCATTCAATCGGCAGTTTGGCTGTCATTCATTGTGTATAATGATTCCTTTTGCGTATAATTAAATAAATTGACAGATAGTTTTTTGTTGTAGTTGTTTTGTAGAATAGTTTGCGAATTTATTTTTTTTTTATTTCATGAAGTTTTTTATGCAACATAATTGTGAAAATTATTTAAAATTATGGTGCGTCTTTCGTTTTTTAATTATTTATTTTTTTTTAATTTTTTTTTTTAATTTTTATTATAGTTAAATTTTATTTTCAAAATACTTGATTATATTTAATAAAATTACTATTGCCATTGATGGACAATGCCAGTGATAGAATCTTTGATAATAGAACAGTAATAATAATTCACATTTAAAATTTTTTGCTACATTTTTACTACTATTTTTATAGTATTATTTTCATACAAAACATTTGTATTATGGGTGTATTTGGTATTTTGGTGAAGTAGATAAAATTGAAGTTTTATATGGAAAATACTGCTATTTCAGTACCAAAAAAATTTTTTGTTTCTGTTTTTGCTTTGAATAATTGCAGCATAAAAATAATCACTAAAAATTGTATTAGACGAATACTACGTTTCTACTACTTTTTCAATTTTTGTTTTGGCTAAATTTAATGTCAAAATTTTTAAATTTTTCTTGGGAAAAAAATAAAAATAAATATACAAAATAATTAAATCTTCGCATTAATGGGTAATGTCAGTGATGAAATATTTCGAGCGCAATAGCTCTGAATAAGGTGGAGGTGCAGCAGTAATTTTTTCTACAGCTCCAGCATTTTTGCTTTCTACTAATATTTTTTTAACACCAATACTCCATTTATAACAGCTTGTATTATCATTAATTTTTGGTGAAGTTCAAAATGTTTCAATAGTAAACGCAAATACTACTTTTCTACTACTAAATATATATTTTTTGTTTCTGTTGTTTTGAATAATTGCCAGATACATATGTATAACTGCTATAAGTAATATTACATACATATCATAATACACTACTATTACGTCTTTAGTACTTTTCTACTACTTTTTTTATTCAACTCTAATTATGAGATTAACACTTAGTGACTTGGCAGGGAATGCCAACCATTGAAAGAAAGAATGGCAATTGCGACTGAATTTATAATTTTTATGCCTTTTCCAATTTTTATTCATTTTAATTAAACCAAATAGCCATTGAGTGGTACTGTACAGCATTTTTCACTGAGATCATGAAACCTTTATCTTATAATAAGGAGATTTACAAATTGGCGCACTAAAATATGCAAAAAAAAAATTGAAGAAGAAAAAATCTATTGACAGAGATCTGCTTTTTTTGCATTTATGCCAAACATTATTTCGTTTTCGGCAGAAAGCAATTTTTAATTGCAATTTAATAGTATTCCAAAAACGATATCGTGTTAGAAAACATGTGCATTCTGAGTATCGGCACGATGTATGCATGTATGTACATATATACAATACGTATGTTTGAAAGCGCCTACTCATTTGAATATCTTGTGTATTTTGCCTCATTAGTGTCACACTGATTTATGTTTCGTAATTTTTGCTTTTTTTCTTATTCTACATAGCAACTGCAAACAAATCATGTGTATGCATATGTAGGTAAGTATGCAAATGATATGCATACGAGTATACCAAATCATGTACATACATACAAATGTGTGTATGTTTGTGCCCAAATGCGTTGCTTAGCCGGCTTTTTGACAGTTTCATTTATTTTTAATTAAACACACAAAAAGTGTTGTGTAGGTTTTTTTACTTTTTTGTTTCTGCTTTGTGTACTTTTTCAATATTTCTACTAAATAAAAGACATGTGCATACTCACCACAAGCTATGAAGTTGCTGAAATATTCCTTTTTCAAGTTCGCTTGCTTGATGCTCAAACAATTGGTAAATATTATATCCTTTTTCGCCAAAAAGTGTTTTTTTTGCTCAGATAGTGGACCTGGAGAAGAGAGAAAGGGTAATAAGCTATTAGTGTGGTTAAAAAAGAATAGTTTAAGCCTTAAAAAATATTATATTTCTTATTTAAAATAATTTTATGGGAAATAGCTATTTTTAACTCTTTTTACAAAAATAATAATTAGATAAAATCTTTTTTGTAAAGAGAAAATTTATTCAATTTTTATCAAAGCAAATTAATTTAGTTAATCACATAGTTTTTTAATTTTTTATTATATTTATGTTAATGCGGCTTCGATCGAAACATAAATATTCCAAATATATATATGAAAATTAGAAAAAATATGTGAAATAGAAAGAAACTAACAAAAAGGACCTTAAACATAAATATATACATATATATTTGGTGTATACGCAAAATCAGAGTGTCAAAATTGCTTTACCACACCCCATTGTATGCAATGAAAAAAATACACGCACACACACAAGCGCACACATTTGCGTGTATACTTTAAAATTAAGTTGTTTTGTACCGAAAAAATGAGCTCCTTGCATTCCTATGCAGCTTTTACGAACACAAACGCATTGTGGGAGCAAATAAAAATTTTTTATGTATACTTGTTGGCGAAAAAAAATACCACTAAGCACCCGAATGAGCGTTTAAAGCAAGCACTAGAATAAAAAGTGTAGAAGAGAAGAAAAAATTCAATGTATAGATATGAAAAAGGCATAGCAAGGACAGAGCGAGGATTAGAAGAAACTTTTTCGGCAGCAGGTGTATTTGTAAATTTAGCAAAAATCTATATTTGTGTGGAGAATATTTTTTTTTTTTAAGAAATTACCGAGCATATTCAAATATTTTTGATAGACAGAAGAAATTTGTTCACAGTTTAAACAAACTTCTTAAATTAAGCATCCAGGTCCTTGTTAAGCAGCCACCAAATCAGCACACTAAAGCCCACAAATTTTATTAAAGCAACTTAAAAAAATTATTTTATTTTCCCCAAAAGGAATTTAGTGTGATTAAAATTTAATTACCCATTACAATTAAATTGCTCATTTAAGCAAGTGTCCATATGACAAGCATACACAAGATGCCTTGTCTGCATCCTGGTTCAACATTGCACACATTCCGCACACTCAGCATTTACATACTTATGGTGGTATATATGAGCTTATCAACTCCTTCGCACAACTACCCCAAACTAACTTTTACTACCAACAAAGCAATAAGCAGTAAATGCAAGCAAATAAATATACATATATGCCAACGCACTGCATCAGCCACATAGCTACCTTGTTATTGTTATTCGTTTTTAATTTTATTTTAATTTTCGCACCGGCAAAACAAAATTTAATTTTTTGATCTATTTTCTACATTGCCAACGATGTGCCATATTATTCATATGCATAATTTACATATACACATATACACATACATACATACATACATATGTATGTGCATGTTAAAGTACGTACAAAGTTTGATACTATATGCACTTTATTGTTGTACACGTCGCTGCTTGCTGTTCGCTGCTGGCTCACAGCCTAGCTCCCTGCACGCCCGCCTGACTGGCTGACTGTCTCGTCTCGTTCATTTCACTGTCTCAAACGTAGCACTTTTATTTTGTACTTTTTTCCCGGTCGCGGTTGTGTTGTTTTGAATTTCCACGTTTACCGCCTTAACCCCACCGCGCTACGGGTCGCAGGGTTCTCTGTTGTTTTTGCTGCTGCTGCTGCTCATCCATCGCTATTTTCTACAAATACATTTTCTGTATATTTTTTGTCAAAAGTCGCACCCCTTTGCCGCTGTGCCAGCAACGAGTGGCTTCTTATTGCATATGAATATACTCGTATGTATATATATACATATTTGAATCTACGCGAATTAATATGAGGAAACGATGCGGCGATTCGAACACACACTCACTTTGTTGAGTCTCAAAAAAAAAAAAAATTTATAAATTAAATAAATCAGCAATAAAATCAACGACAATAAATATTGCAAAATTTTCACTCGCTCGTTTTGTTTCGAATTTCACTTTTCGTTTTAGTTTTATTATTTTATTTTTTGTTCTTATAATTTTTTTATTTTTCAAATTCTAAACACATTGCAGGTTTTTGTCTTTTTCATTTCTAATAAAACTGAAAAAATATGTTTTCTTCTTTATTTTTTTGGGTGGATTTTTTCTTATTGCAAAACAAAAAATGTTCTGACTTTCGCTTGAATTGCAATTCGCAGCCGTCGGCTGAGACCACAAAGAGTAATAAATCCAAAAAAATCAACGAGCCGCCGAGCGACCCACCGAAAGTTGTATTTAGCTGCGAAATTGCGGCGAAACGGCGCGCTGAATTGCTGTGTGCTTTGCTGCTGCTGAGCGCACACAAAAACGACCAAACGACCCAACGACCAGACTACGACGACGTCAACGGCGAGCAATTCAAGCAACAAACGAATGAATGTGTTCAATACAATAACAGATGGAATACTTGTGCAAGCAACAACAGTACGTGGAGCAACACCAACAGCTGGTCACACACACGCACATACACACACACACACATACAAGCGCGCACACACAGATACAAAAGCAAACAGGGAATACACATTATAGCGCAGCGATTGATTCAAATCTCTAAAAAAGAACTAGTAGTGTTACACAAATAAACATACATACATACAACGAACAACAATAAAACCAACAACAACAACCATCGCCAACAAACCGAACTATAATACAAAATAACTAAGCAGCGCATTCGTCTATTCGTTTTTTGCGAATAATTTTTTTAGTTTGTTTATTGCAAAAACTACAAAAAAAAAATAGTAGAAAAGATAATGAAAAAGAGCAGAAAACAAATTCGCCACACTTGTCATTGTGTGCAACCCAAAAGATAGATAAAACTTCGTACACAGATACAATTAGATATCAAAAAGAAAAACAGAACATACTAGGTACTGTGAAGCAAACACACACAGTCACCAACAGCGCGCGCTCCCCTTTCTCAACGTTGCATTGGTATATGTGCGACGCGCGCTCACTCAGTCTGTTGTACGCTCGCCGGCAAATTATCTAATTCTACACACTAATACGCAAGTGGCGCTCTCCACAAACACATGTGTAGATGGAAGTGGCGCTCCCTCACATACGCAAAGCGCTCTAAATGCTGCGAGCGCCAACAGCTGGGGAGCACACTCTACCACACACGCGCTTCAAAAATTCATGAACTCTCTAAATCATTGCTCACATAATATGAACTCTCTGCCACACACACCAGTTCCGTGTAAAAACAATGAAAAACACTCTCTAAGCTACTAGAGCGCACTATCAAACAAAACGCTCATCTAACTTACTCACACTCTCTCTAAGCAGACAATCTCTGAAGCATTCTGCGCTAAACAGCAATTCTCTAAGCAAACAATCTCATAGTTGCCTCGCGTCCTTCCACTCAGCACTCACGTTCTCACCTGCATTAGTGCACGCTCACGCTAAATTCACGAATTCTTTTATTTCATAGATGTTGGTGTGAGTCATGCAGCGCTTCAAAACCCTATACTACAACAAAGTGAACCTTCGTTGTTGGCTCTACGAATTTGAGTGCTTATTATCCGGGAATTCGTAAATACGAAAAACATATTTACGAACATACATACATACATTGGTAGCTTTATTTTAATTCTGTCAAACATTTCTGTACAAAGCAGGAAAAGGTAAACTCGTTTAAAGATAAACCTCGGCACTTCTGCCCACACATTTCTTCAATTGTTTTTTTTTCCTTTGATAGTTGTTTTTGCGGAATTTGAGTTTTTGTTAACCACCGAATGCTTTTATGTTGTTGTAGTGCATTTACAGTGTGATTTTTGTTTCATTGGATTTTTTGGTTAGTTTTCTGTTTCTCTTTGTCTGTTTCTCTGTTTCTTCGCAGTCTTATTTGCTTAACAAGCTAAACATTAATGGAGAGCCCTTTTCTGTTTAAGTGAAGTAGTAGTTTGACTCTACATACAATACAAAAATATACATATGTACATATATAGCAAATTTATTTTTTATTTATTTTTTATTCGTTACATTAAGTACCTTAGAATATTTAATTTTTTTTATAGTGTGCACGCGCCCTTAGTTAGTGCTCATGCATCTTCAATTCATCAGTTATCGACTATCGATATTTTCGGCATAGTACTCTGCTCTGCTACAATAAGTTTTACATTTTCGTATGTTGAACAAGGCTCCTCATAAAAAGTCATCAGCCGTGCGGAGGCGGCTTAGTATAACCTATAGGTCCCTCCATTTGTTTGAAAAACACCAAGCCGCAAAACCACAAATTTAGACGCAAAGTTCGGGCGAAAAATTGCTTCATCAATTACAAAGCGCCAAGCGTTGGAGGCCAAAGTTGCAAAGAAATGCATCTCGAGCCGTATCAAATGTCAAAGCTATACGAGTATGAACTTGGCTGCCAGCAAATAGTGTCTACTCACAGGCTTCACCTATTTTGAGGCCAATGATAAATCTTTCTACAAAGGTACTTGGAAATGCTAGAAGGCAGCTGCAGTAAGTACGAGTTTCAAGAGATACTTCTAATGATATTCCTGGAGGGCAGCAGAAAAGATTTGTTCATTTTCCAAAGTTCATGACACAGAAAAACGTGGACCGCCTAATACATTGGGAGCATCTTCATTGGTATGTTTTAAGAAGTAAATATGATCTAAGTAAAAACTGCTACAAAATTAAAACAATTCCTCAAATATGCCGACCGAAACTTGAAAACTTAACCCAAATTTCATATACTCGAATGAAATGCAAACATCAAGAGTCAAAACGACGAAAACAGAATACCCACTAAAACACTTTATAAACCGTCTAAATGAAAACGAATCTTGTTGGAGCAACAACTGCAACAAACAGATAACAGGAATTCAGGCAACACAATATGTGAGGGGAAAGTGTAAAAGTGAAAGAGTGTAATGGAAGTTTTCAAAGAACAACAAGATCGAAATTTAGCTGTGTGCATATCTATATATGTATATACAACTGAATGATGTTG